CCCCAAAACCCCAAAACCCCAAAACCCCAAAACCCCATTGATTTTTCCTTAGATTGAAAACAGCCCATGAATTTATTTCAATTTTTAATTTTATTAGGATCTTGATTTAGCTATTTTTCACAATTTTATCAATGAGCTTGCCAATTTGGAGAAGACTCCTGTCCATACCATATTTCCCCCAAAGTTTATACATGGCAGCAGGCTTTTTCTCAGATTGTGATAGATGATCAACATCCGCCATCGGTAAACAAAGAGCTGGCGCTCCTCAGACATTTGATGGTACTGTATAATAATCTTGGGAGTACTCTCCTATAATAGCATCTATCTCACCAGACCTAATCGAGGATACTTTAGGAATATCTCCTACGGCATTAGGGGAGAGAAGGATATCAACACCTTTTTGAAGCCCTTTAGAACTCTCAATTCCCTCAAAAATATCATTATATTGCTCACAGAATAATCTCCTAACTTTTTGAGCTTTGATATACATTTCATTAAAATCAACATCTTGTGTGGAAAGAACGAAATTTCCAAGAGCGATTCTTCTCTTAACTAAAAGTTACAAAAATGGCATACCATTAATTCCAAACCCTTCTGTCCTGATTCTCTGGATATATTCTTGGTAGTCAACCTTGGAATCCTTCGAACTAACGGTACTGTGCTGGAGGCCATACTTGAGTCCATCATACCTAGAGAGGTTGCTAGCAGCCTCAGCTGGAATAATTGTGTAATAAATCGGCAATATTTGCTTAAGCAAAGGTATCGAAACTTCAACTATTTCAGCCCCATGGTCTTGCAAGATGTCTATGACCTTTCTCTGTTCATCAATTCTTTCCTGAGGGAGCTCTTCGATGTTGAATTCTTCTGCTATTCCAACTCGGACACCTTTCAAAGAGGTTCTAAGCTCTGGCTCTGTGAAGCTTAAGGAGTTTGAATCTTTAATGTCCTCCCCATCGACTACTTGAAAGATAGAGGAAATATCATCAATATTTTGTGCTAAAATCCCAGGTGAGTCATTTGATGAAGAATACAAAATCACTCCATGGCGTGAAAGTCTTCCATAAGACGGCTTAAATCCGTATACGCTGCATCAATTTGCTGGAAATGTGACTGAGCCGCCAGTATCTGTCCCGAAAGCAGCCATTCCTTGGTTTGTAGCTGTCGCAACAGCTGCTCCTCCTGAACTGCCTCCTACAACAAGATCTTCATTGATGGGGTTCACTGGGACTTTTTCAGAATATAATGTAAAACTGCCCATTCCGAACTCATCCATATTAGTCTTGCCCACAATAATTGCTCCAGCTTCTCTACATCTCTGAGCCATAGTAGAATCGATTGGAGGGACGAAGTCCCTCAAGATTTTACTTCCAGCAGTAGATGGCATGTTCTTGACCAAGAAATTATCTTTAAAACTGATAGGGACTCCATCTAAAGGAGAGAGAGGATTCCCTTGCTTATATCTTTTCTCACTTTGAGCAGCCAGTTCCAGGGCTTCCTCCTCATCACTAGTGATGTCGTAGCTAAATGCATTCAAATGTCTTAGGTCCTTTATTGCTGTTAGAGTATCCTGAAGAACCTGCACTGGGGAGACAGCTAGAGAATTATATGCTTTAGAACAACGCTTTATTCCGATGCTATTCATTTATGGTAAATAATAATTTATTTAATTACAATATCTAAAATTCTTGGGGTTTTGGGGTTTTGGGGTTTTGGGGTTTTGGGG